GATACTCCCTTCGAGAGTTATCGTGCGCATCTGCCAGCCAGAGATACAGACGGATGGACGGACGGACGGACATCGCTAGATCGACTCCAAATGTCTTGAAACGGAATTGGTCCAAGGATACCTATTGTCTAAAACCGTTATTTCGACTAGGCACGTTTTGGCCATATAAAATGATATAAACCCTCTCTAGCAATATATGGCTGAGGGTATAACTAGCCATATGGCTGAGGGTATAACAACGGTAAGATGAACAAGTTAAAAAGCAGTTAAAGAATATCCTCCACCATTTGGAACGAATTTGGAAATAAAATCCTGAAAAAAATTTAGTTAAAATTTTAAAAATACCGAATATAGCCGTTATATTGGTGCCTATACGACGTGAACCCACACAGGCATTGTTTGTCATAAGTCATTACCAAATTCAAATTCGGAACTTGAAATAAACGGTGAATAATGTAGCTAAAATCATCAAAATGTCGAATATAGGGAGGTACCGTTATATGGGAGCTATATGAAAACGTGGACCTACATGGCCCATTTACGAACTTAACCTGCCTACTGAAAAAATAAACATGTGTGCAAAATGTTAGCCTTGTATATCAATTCGTTCGAAATATAGCGTGATCACAACAGACAGAATTTTACGCTGATCAAGAATATTTATACTTTGTTGGGTCTGACATGAGTATTTCGAGGAGTTACAAACGGAATGACAAAGTTAATATACCCTTCATAGTATGGTGGAGGGTATAAAAACGAAAGGGTTGGCAGGTACTAGGTAAGAATATAAATTTGCTTGATTTTGAGCTGACTTTACTCTCCTCCTTTGTGGCCAACATAACTCATTTTCACATCCCTTTGGAAATAAAAGTCACCATATTTTTTAAGGGGATATGCACCTCGTGTTTGTGCTCTGTGTCTCCGAGAAGATGAGATATATTCCCATAAATACTGATCTCCAATATTTTAGAAGTTTTAATTTTTTTCCTATCGATTTTGGCTTTATTAGAAAGGTATGGATATCTAAAATATAGTCCACTGCCTAATTCCTATCCTTAGAAATTGATTGCATATTTCATGTACATTACTTTTTTGCAAAATTTCTTCTATTTATTTACATCCCAACAAATATTATTTTGATTATAGCTAGTATTCCATTGCTATGATTATCATTTGTTTAATGCAGTAAACTCTAGCAATAATAACAATATCAATATTTACTTTGTAATCTAGTAACGAAAACACATTACCATTGCCATTACAAAATATTACAATGATTATTGTTTGTTTGTTTTTACAACCTTTTGCTATTACACTAGCAAATGAACATGGATCTGGATACAGCTACAGCTACAGATCCACACCAACACAATAAAGTGTTTGCCAATTTTATTGCAATAATGAAAATTACTTGGGTATAATATGCCAATATATGTTTATCTCCGCAAATATTCATGCATAATTTTTTGCTGTTTTCCGAGCCAAGCAAACAAGCCCGATATCCTTGAAACACAATGTGTGGGAATCCTTTGCATATATATACACATGGAGATACTCGCCTGTTTACCAACTGCCATAATTTCCATTTGATATGATTAACCGACCGACCAACCAACCAACGCAGCAATCAATCAATTCAATCTTCAACCAATATTATTGCCATTGTAAATGTGATGTGTGCCGTGCCAGAGGAAGGAAGGAAGTTGTAGTAGTAGTAGGACCACATGGCATTAAAAGCAAATGTTGGCCATAAAAATTCTGTTTAAATGGAACAAAATTGAATGTAGTCCTTGGTTATCTCCGACTTTGCTTTTTTTTGTTGGTTTAATGGCAAGTTATAAAATGGTAATGCGATTCAGGTTTGGTCGTAGCTGCTTAATCTGTGTTTCTACAGTGTAAATGTTATAAACTGGGCAACGAGATAGTCGGACAGCTTGTTTTACAGAACGACGTTTATCTCACAGGTCACAATTTGGGATATCAGAGAAATGTTATTTAATATGTGAGCATAGGGAAAAAACTATAAATCACTCACATCTCACTAAATTTTAAGCGTTCGAGAGTTCAAGTTCGATATAACAACAGGCAAAGTTTAACAAGATTAAACAGACTCTATTTAGCGATTGTACTTGTATTTGAATTGCTCCATAGCCGATGCCTTGAGGTGGCGACATTTAGGACGATATTAAAATCAGAGCACAGATGTGGTCTTTTTTACTCGATAGTGAAAATTGCTCACGAGCGGGATCTCTCTTTACCGCTATATAGGGATATACAAAAACGTGGACCTGCACATACAATGTTTCGCCAACGGAGCCAGAACCCATTATGACCAGTAAATACCAATTTTTAGACAAATCCATGAAAAAGTGTGGCAAAAATCATCAAAATACTAAATATCGGGAGGTACCGTTATATGGGGGCTATACCAAAACGTGGATCTAAACATACAATATTCTGCCACACGAACTAGGACCCATTATGACTAACAAATACCAATTTTTAGACAAATCTGTGAAAAAATGTGCCAAAAATCATCAAAATGCCGAATATCGGGAGGTACAGTTATATGGGGGATATACGAAGACGTGAACCTGCACAGACACTTTTCTGTCTTAGGATGTAGTATCCGTTACGAACTTCAGATGCCAAATTTGAAACAATTCCGGTGAATAATGTCGCTAAAATCATCAAAATACCGAATATCGGGAGGTACCGTTATATGGGGACTATACCAATACGTGGACCGATATATCTCATTTTCAATACCAACCGTCCTAGACACAATACAAATCGTTCTGCTAAATTTTGACGCTTTATGTCAAATAACGTGGGCTGTTATAGCTTTTTTGGTATTTCAGGAATGGCGAGGCTTTAATTACATTTCGCAACGGAATTGCCTTTAATTTGGTATTCGGGATTTTCATAGAACGTTAAGGGTTTAAGATTTCAATCGAATACGTCCACAAACCGAAATTGGTTTTTATCCTGGCGAATCTCAACTTAACCGGCTGACCATTTGAAAGCCTACCTCATTATACCCTACACCACAAGTTGGTCAGGGTATTATGTCTTTGTGCATTTGTAACAGGCAAAAGGAAACGAGATATATCCATAGTTCCTTTTGATGATCTGCATAGAATCACATTCTGAGTCGATTTATGTATGTCCGTCCGTCTGTCTGTCCATATATTTTTGTAAACAAAGTTCAGGTCGCATTTATTGCACGATTCTGGTGAAATTTTGCACAAATAATTGGTTTGACCCAAAGACGAACCCTACTAAAATTGGGGATAATCAGTCAAATTTTAAGTATAACTCCCATATATATTTGCGTCCAATATCAGCCCAAATAATAAGGAATTTTGCACGTATGACCAGATTGGACCTATGGAGTATGATTGGAGTATGCCAAATTTGATCGAAATCGTTTCAGATATAACTAGAGCTCCCATATATATTGTTAATCCGATTTGTTATTTTTGTCCTCCGCAGCCGTAATATGCACTCTGTAACAACAATATTTTGGGAAATATATCAAATACAGTTCAGAAATACCTTTGCTAAATTTTATGGAGTTCGGTTCACATTTAGATATAGCTCCATAATATAAAACATCGTCCGATTTACCTTTTATTGTGCCACAAACGTCAAATATTGAGTCTAGAAATCAGTATGTCAAATTTGGTAGAAATCGGTTCAGATATAGCTATAGCTTCCATACATGTTGTTGAATTTTACCTGCAAATCCGTAATATGGACTCCGTAGTAACGATATTTGGTTAAATATATCAACAAGTAAGCAAAGACTATAGTCGTGCGGGGCCGACCATGTGATACCCTACAACCCTAAAATATATTAGAAACCCCCTTATGTCCAAATCCATTTTGGAAGATTTCCCTTTTGAAATTATGTCACGGAACACTACCCAGATATTACCCTTATCATTTTGACCAGGAATATTTGCCCAATATTTACGCACTTCATCGTACTTTTAGTTGTTATGGTCCATTTTACAGCTAAATATAATCCAATGGTCATCCAAAATACTAGACTTCTTCCCTGGCGTGTTTATTGGCTTCAATTGCTTGATCAGGAAATTTTTGTTCTATTTTTGGTTCATTTGAACCCTTAAATATTTTGCGATCATCTCCAAAAGTAAGAGTCTCCTCTGTATCTCCAAATTTACACTCATCTATATGATTTGCTTGTCTACCATATTTGGCTATATTCATCAATAAAATCAGCATAAAAAAGCCAGAAGTTCCCCTTTTGTATACTTCGGATATCGCCTGTAAATAAGTAAGTGTAAAAATAGTGGTCCATTCCACCCGCCGTCATAAACTCTAACTCCATGCGAGATTTCGGACAATTTGACTTTTATTTAACAATAATGTTATGGTCTATTTCACTCACTAAATATTACCCGATGACAAACAAAAGGCTTCTGCCCAGCCATAAGCTCTAGCCCCATGCTAATTTCCGCGTCGATTGGTTTATAATTGCGACCTGCAGAGCAACTGCAAAATCAGGAAATTTTTCAGTTTTTGGTCCATTTCAACCCCATTCTCAATTTCGAGATGATCGGACCATAATTGCGACCTGTAAATCAAAGGAAAACTACAATAGTCTAAAAACAATCCTCGGTAATTCAATGGGGCGCTGGCCTATGTATCATATTGGGACCCTGGTGCACGGCGAGAATCATGTAAAACCTCCTCGACTTCAATACTTGTAGAGCATAAACATTACTCAGAAAATTTTAGGTAGGTTCTTCGCAGATGAGTTAATATTTTCAAATTTTCATTGCCCCGTTTCAACCTTCTTCAAATTAAAAATTAAAATTTCTTTTTGAAGTAATTTATGATAGATAAAGATCCCAATTTCTCCTGATAGTTGTGAATCATATAAAAAAGTTTAGTATATTTCTATAAAAGAAAAGTTGTCTCTAGTATTATTTCTAAATTAAACAAAAACAATATTTTCTAGTATTAAACACCTTGCACAAAACTTCTTTCGAATCTACAAAAACAAGTGTTATCAAAACATATGCTCACTCACTTCAACCATGAAAACTGTTTTCCATTGTCCCTAAGCGTAGATATTTACAATCGATTCTTATCTGCTAGGTAGAAAAGGTGTGTGAAGAATAGGAAAAATCGAAAAAGAAAGAGAAAAAGGAAAACAAAAAGATTTCTTTTTTTTTGATCTATGATATCTTTATATGTATGTACGTATGTTTGTAGCACTAACAATATATTTGTATGTGTGTGTATATCAAAGTACAAACGTCATATGGACGAATTGAAGAAGATGAAGAATAATAGAAAATAAATAAATAATAAAAAACAATAAACAATAAATAAAGCTAAACAAAACAAATTCTAAAAAATAGGAAAGTCTACAACCACATATTTCACTAAGATGAGTTTCACAATTCGATTCAATCATTCGTCTCGCAAGGATATCCAGGCGATGGATGTTTCAGTTGCAGTTTGAGTTGCTATTGCTGTAGTTTACTTTGGTTTCCGGTACACGTTGATTGTTTATGCATCACTTTGTTACTGTTTCTGCTGCTGCTGCTGATGAAGGTTCGTTTCCCTTGCCTTTTGTTGAAATTGCTGTTATCCTTTCGGATGATCCTTTGGTATTTGTTAGTTTGCTGATGCATTGCAACTGCATATTTTCATGTATTATATTGGTGTGGGGGATGGGGGTAGGTGAAGGGAGGCTGGGTCTTTGGTTGCATGGATGGTGTGTGTGTATGTAGGTGTGGGATGCGTATTTCAGGAAACAAGTTTATTTGAATGCTTCGGTATTATTCTACGCTTACATGCAGCTTCTGTCATTGTTGACTTTCATTCAGACCATTGTGTGAGTGGTGGTGGTGTTGGTGCTGTGTATGGCTGTGGAAGTTGGTGATGCGGTTGTTGCTGTTGTTGTTACTGTTGCTTGTACTGTACTGGCATTGGTATTGGTAGTGGTTTTGTTATTGTTTTTATGCCATTTGTTGACATATGCTAAGGGTATTTCAATTTGGATTTCCTGAATATTTTCATCGCCATCATCGTCGTCATCGTCCACAGCACCTGCTGTGGCACCACTTTCCAGATAACGGCCACCGGCTCTGGTGCCGCCCACACTGCTGACACCATCGTTCGCTTTGAGAAAACTGCTGGATTTATCCTTAACACTAATTTCACCGACACCTCCAACGCCACCACCACCACCGGTGGCACCGAAACTCTTCCATGTATCCAATGTACGTGATGGTGTACACAACAGGTTTGCGGTTTGGTTTGTCGACAAGGACAATGACGATGAGCCACCTCCCCCTCCTCCACCTCCTCCTCCCGTGCCCAACAAGTGTAGATTTTGCATTGATGCTGATGTGGGTGTGGGTGTAGGCGCCAACAGCGCCCCATCCCTGCATTATAAACTTTCGACTAGTTGACTGGTACGCCTCTGGGCGTGGCTAGCATTCAAATAGCTCTCCGAGTAGACACTTTTCGCCCGATTGTCATAGCGCATACTGCCCCGTCGCATATCCATATCGAGCGCCATGTGACGATCGCGCCACCAATTGCAGAACAAACACTGCAAGGTATTTCGAAATGCCTCTCGAAAGTCACGATTGAAGTAAGCGTAAATAAGTGGATTCAGGGTGGAATTGAAATAGCCAATCCAGAAGAGAATGGCCACCACAATTTCGGGTACATCACATGCATCACAGAGTGTGGTAATTGTGTACCTGCAATGACAAAAAATGAAAGGCAAAAGATGAACAAATCCATTTTTTTAAAATTTTGGAGATTTTTGGAAATGTTCGATAAAATGTTAAAACAATAAACTTGTTCCAGGGAAAAGTATTTGAAAAAATTATCTTAAAAAAAATAATGAATCAAATTATATGAAGTTAAAAACCTTCCAGGAACTCATTTCTTTAAATTAAATTTAAATATTTAATATAAATAGTTATTATTCAAAAAAGAATGACGTAGTTGACATACGCTCATAGGTATTCCTTCGAACCTTTCACAAAATGATTTTGAATTCGATTTCTCATGTAAACCCCCATTTTAATCGGCAATACCAAAATATTTGACACATCTGGATACATTACAGATTATCCCACAGGAAATATGGTTAGGTCTTTCAAATACCTTAAAACAAACTATTCCGTTTAGGGAAACCAGGTCCAAAACACAGGTCGACTGCATATTGATTACTAATTCAAATCGATTCTTGATTTTGAATATTTAGCGCAAAGTCCTTCTATACCCTCCACTTTGAAAATAAGGGTATATTAATTTTAACATCCCTAAATATTCGTCGTAGACCCAAAAAGGACATATACAGGGTTAGATGAAAAATCTGCAACCAACTTCAGACTGCTGTCATTTCTAAGCCACTCGTCCGACAGCTGTTAAAATTATTTCAGTGATAGCTCATTATATTTTTTACAAGCGTACAAAAGCATTTTGGTGAGAATTTTCCAGAAAAAAAGTTATGCGTGATGGAATTCAAGCGTGATAGTGTGATTTCTTTAAATTTGGCTGGCCACCAAAATCTCCGGATACTAATCCGTTGAACTATTGTGTCTGGAGTATTTTGGAAAGCAAGGTTGGCACTAAAAACTACCAAAGTGTCGATCAACTCAAGCAAGGGCTTCGCCGGGAATGGGCCAAAATACCTCAGAGCAACGTTCCGGCAGCGTGTGACGGTTTCATTGGCCATTTGAAGGCCATAATTCGTGCCAAAGGTATATATATATATATATATATATATATATATATATATATATATATATATATATATATATATATATATATATATATATATATATATATATATATATATATATATATATATCTTGTTGAGTCTAAAATGTATATTTCCACGTTTAAACCCTCCATGCTATGGTTGGTCTTCTTAAAAAAAGAGGGTCCCTTTATACAAAGGCTTCCTTTCTATGAAACATATATGGGAGCTACAGCTATATCTGAAGCTATTTTCGTCATTTGGTGCATAGTATTGAGATATTGGGTGAGATAAAAAACTGCAACTAAGCCAATGCCATAATTTTCACACTTTTTTTTTTAATTTTTTTAAATTAATCAGCATAAAATGCTATGCCAGCTTAAAAAAAAGCAGATTGTTAAAACTTTACTCAGATGTGTTATAGGACTGCGGCCCCTTTGGTGTTAAAAATAGGCTATATAGGTCCATGCTTTATTTTAGGCCCCTGATCGAATTTGCTGTAAATATGTGTTCTCAGTATATAGTAAACATCCTTGAACCGGCATAAGTTTTAATAATAAAGCCCCATGAAACTGTGTCTCCGTATATTCGCTTTTTCTTAAACCTTGTATTTAAAGTTATGCCTTATCTGGCATACAATTGACTATAGAGCTCCATATCTTCGTATAATTCCCAGATAACTGTTGCTATCAATATTCGGTATTTTGCATTCGTTTTGTGGTCCCACAATTTGGAGTTAAGGATCCGCAGTGGATATGACAGAGAATTATCTACAGAAATTCACGTCTTCGGATAGTCTCCCAATGGTACCTCCCAATATTCGGTATTTTAATGATTTTAACTATATCGTTCAACAAAATTTGCTGAAAACTGGTGCTTGGAGTTCTTAAATGACAGCTCCTTGGCTGTAAAGTTCAGCGTTTTCGTAAAGCCTCATATAATTGTAATACCTGATATTCGGAATTTTTAAGATTATATCGGAATTTTTCAACGGATTTTTTTACATATTGCAGGTTCCTTTGTTGTTGCAAAATGGCTGCTTTTTACTTGGTCGTTATTGTGAGGATCTTGACTGTTTTTATACCCTACGCCACATAGTGTCTTTGTGCCTTTATTTGTAACATGGAGAGATAGACCCATATTTACTTTTGAGGATCTTCCTAGAATCACTTTCTGAGTCGATTTATGCATGTCAGTCTGTCCGTCCGTCTGTTCATGTATTTTTGTGAACAGCAGGACGCATTTATTCTCCAATTGCGATGAAATTTTCCAAACAATATATGTTTGGCCCAAGGACGAACCCCCTTTGAAATTGCTAAGAATCGGTTCAGATTAGATTATTAGGATATAGCCCCCATATATATCTTCAACAGATTTAAGGTTATTTGTGCACAAAATGGTCAATATTACCCATCTAAATAACCTGAATTTTGACACATTCGACAGAATTCAGTTTAGAACCTAGAACATCAAATTTGGTGAAAATCGGTGCAGATATAGCTATTGCACCCATATATATGCTTTATCCGATTTGGTGTTTAAGTCCCTCACATTCGTGATATGCACTCCGCAAGAATGATCTTTGGTACCAGATATCAAATACAGCACAGAAATAAGTGCCTGAAATTTTGTCAAGATCGGTTCAGATTTTGATGTACGTCCCATATATATCTTTATCCAATATCAAGTTTATTATGTACCACATGACTAATATCAGCCCAAATGAACTGAATCTTAGCAATTCTGACTGAATTCATTCTAGAAACAAGTACATCAACATTTGGAGAAAATGTGTTCAGATATAGCTATAGCTCCTATATATATACAGGGTTGCCCATATTCGACGGACCTTTGGGCTCATTCCAATCGACGAGGCTTGTCCGCAGGCAACATTTTTTGCGTCAATTGAATTTTGTACGGGAACAAATGCAAATCAATGCGAATAATCCGTTGTAAAGTGGACCGAGCCATGCCCAACTGCTGAGAACGGCGTTTTTGGGATGTTCTTGGGGACCTCTCAACACTGGCTCGTACAGCAGCGATATTCTCGGCCAATCACCTTGGTCGACTTTTATATGGCCTCTTCGGATTAGAAAGAGCCTTACCAGTCGAAAATTTTTCGTATAAACGCTTAATGATGTTCTTAGAAGGCGCACTTCTCACATTTTTTTCACAATTGACTTCTTCTGTTGAATGTAAATTTCAACTATTTCAGAGCGCTCGCGTGGCGTGTATTGGTTCATGGTAAAAATCTGCTTGGACTGACGCTTCAAACGCGGTATGTCATTAAGCGATGTGGCATCTCTGTCAAAAGTTATGGCGTTGCCAGATGGGTCCGTCGAATATGGGCAACCCTGTATGTTACATCCGATTCAGGTTTTAAGTCCCTCACACGCGTAATATAAACTCCACAGCAATGATATCAGATACAGCCCAGAAATATCTCTGTCAAATTTTTTCGAGATCGAATCTGATAAGGATATAGCTCCCATATATATCTTTGTATGTATATATCTTAATCCGATAGCAAACAGAGAACACGCCTCTGTATTGTCTCATGTTTCGCAAAATATTTCACAAAATTATAAAACATATAGTTAAAAGAATAAATAAATAAAAACCATAAATCCCCAACCCCTTACATTTTCAATGCAACATAAATTCTTTAACTAATAATACCCCCAACACATAGTGTTGTAGGGTATAAAAACCAAACAAAACAATTTAACTGTAGTAGTGGCATAGAGTAGCAAAACACTAAAGTAGCAAAACAAAAAACTGGAAAACAAAATATTTGTAAAAGTTTATTTATGGTTAAATTGTTTTGTTTGTTTTCATTCTTTATTTTTCTATAACTAACAACAGCTGAATTTATGTTTATAGACGTTAGAAATGTGTTGGTAAAAAATACGTGTAAGGACCAAAAAAAAAAGAAAAGCACAAAACAAACTGAAAAAAACGGGTATACAAGATTTTCTGTGGAAATGTTGAGTTTTCCCAGAAAAACGACCGAACAGTTAATTTAATTTTCCTATTTCATTTTTTTCGGATTTCAAGCGAAATAAATGCTTGAGTTTCTATTTAAAGATAAAATTAAAGATTTCATGTTTTTATGTTATATAACCACAATATTTTAATCTTTTATTTTTTTGTATTTTGCTTTGTTTGCTATTCTCTTGAACTTACCACAAAAAGAATGGCAGCCAACAGAGTATGAATGTACCCATGATTATACCTAGTGTTCTTGCAGCCTTGTGTTCTCGTTTCATTTTAATTAAATGTTTATCTTTAGTCGGTGTATGATCCTGTTCGACCTCGTGCATTGTCAATTGTTTCGAGGAACCAGAACCGCTTAGAGCTTCACCTGGCAGGAATGGAGAAAGAGAAAGAAGAAAATTAGAAAAAAAAAATACATTCTCTATTGCATTATAATATCCAATAAAATAACACTTATAATAAATTATGAATATTTATGGCTTAAAACTAAAAAAAATGCTGTATTTCTTAACATAATAGCTGAAATTATTTCCACTACAATTCACAACCAGCCCCCCACCTCTGGCGTATGAGTAATATTGTATGAACTAGTTCCTTTCACACACACTCCATATATTTTCACATAACTCATACGCCACCCGTAGAATGATTTAGGTTAACAGCTCCATATTGCTGCCTAGTATGTAGTTGTTAACAAAACTATAGTTGGCTTGTGGCTGTTATTTTTTTGCTGCTGAATTTGCAAAATTTATTTCACTTTGAGTTTTCAATTTTTCCATGACTGTTTTTATTACTTTTTGTTTAAAGTTGCGTTCAGTTTTTTTGTTTTTGGTTTTTTTTTGTTTAGTGCTTATCTGCATACGGAAATTCATGTGTGGACATAAATGTGTTATAACCCAGCATAACGCTTTTGTTTTGTTATTTTTCAACGGATCCAGGGAGACAATAGTTTTGTACACATACAACATTTCGTATTTGATTTTGGTTGATACTGAATACAATGAATTTTCTTTTCAATACTATTTTATGATATTAGCTATATTATGGCAATTTGTATTTATACGAGTAGTTTGTATACATAGGTTCTGTGGTGGATATGACTACTGTTTCTGACGTCAAATAAATAATCGAGAATTGCCAAAATATAAAAATGAAAACATATATATTTTTTTAATTTATGCAAAGATATTCTAAAATTAATTTGCCTGACATTTTTCCGATTTTTTTACATTAAAATTTTAAGAGAAACTCCTTAATTATACACCACATATTGGTAGGGGTATTATGTCTTTTTGCATTTGTTTGTAACATTGAGAAGAAAGCGGGAGGAGGATGTTTATAGAATCACTTTCTGATTCGATTAATGCATGTCAGTCGTCTTTCCGTCTGTCCACGTTTTCTTGTGAACAAAATGCAGGTCGCTTTTATTATCCGATTGAAATGAAATTGTCCAAGTTCGTCTAAGGACAAACCCTATTGAAATTAAATTTTTTTTGTGAATGAAGGCAAAAATGTCGGAAATAGCATCAAACTTTAGATTTGTTCGAATTGGTCACCTTTGACACGAATTATGGCCTTCAAACGGCCAATGAAAGTATCACACGCAGCCCGAATGTTGCTCTGCGGTATTTTGGCTCATTCCCGGCGAATTGCTTGTTTGAGGTGATCGACAATTTGCTATTTTTTAGTGCCAACCTTGCTTTCCAAAATACTCATGTTGGAATGTTTAAGGTCTGCGGCCAAAATATTTGCGTGCCCAAGGCTTTAATACACCCTCCAGAATATTTTCTCGATAACATTTTTTTGATACCACGGTCGATTAATACGAGCGGAGAGCGACCATCGGCTGTTATGGCGGCCCACACCATCACCATGGTGGCCAACCGAAAGTGCACATTTTTAACTGACCTCTTTGGCACGTAAACACGATCATTTTGATTGTTTACAAACTGCTGGACAATGATTTTTTTAACGGAGTTCAGCACTTTCGGCCAAGCGAAGCAACACTTTAGCTCTTTTGAGTCTATTTTCTTTCTGTTGCGGTGCAGGTTCTGAAAGTTTTTGGAATTTCAATGGCTTTACCCCGAGCTCAGCTCACGAGCCATTTTTCGGCCACTGCAAGGGGGGTTTCGATCAAGTCGCTTCTTTACTTTTCGAACCATTTCAGCTGATGTCGCTGTTTTCTTCCGTTCACTTCCTTGACGTCGGGCTACGCTACCAGTGTCACGGTAACTAGCGATGGTACGAGACGCAACAGATTTATTCACATTTAAATGCTGGAGTGCTCTAAAGATAGCCACTTGTGGTTTTCCAGCCAAATTTAAAGAAATCACACTATTTCGCAAGAATTCCATCACGAATAACTGTTTTTCTGGAAAATTCTCACCAAAATGCTTTTGTACGCTTGTAAACAATACGATGAGCTGTCACTGGAATAATTTTAACAGTAGAAATGGCAGCAGTCTGAAGTTGGTTGCAGTTTTATTATCTCACCCTGTATTTTTCATCCGATTTGGTGTTTAAGTCCGCGAGAAATACCTCTGCCAATTTTTATGAAGATCAGATTAGAATATTGCTCCAAAATATATGTTTAACCGAATTCGGGTTAATTGTGCACCAAATGGCCAATATCAGTCCAAATGAACTGATTTTTGGCACAACTGACCGAATTCAGTCTAGAAGTAAGGACATCAAAATTAGTGAAAATCGGTTCAGATATAGCCATAACTCCCATACATATGTTTCATCTGATTTGGTCTTTTAAGTCCCTCACATTCGTAATATGCGCTCCACAACAATATTTGGTACCAGATATCTTATAGAGCTCGGAAATACCTTTGCCAAATTTTATGAAATCGGTTCAGATTTGGATATAGCTCTAGTATATATCTTCAACCGATTTCGGGTTAATTGTGTACTAAATAACAGAATACAAATAGTCCTGAACTTTTGGTACATCCGACCGAATCTAGTTCACATATGTTTTATCCGAATTGGTGTTTAAGTCTCTCACATTCTTAATATTCGACAACAATGATAGTTGTTACCGAGAAAGGCTAAGATTTGGATATAGCTCCAATATATCTTTAACCCGATTTCAGGTTTATTGTGCAAATATTAGGTAATATCAGCCCAAATGGAGTGAATTTCGGTACTTACATTTCCATTTTGTGGACCTCGGCTCCGATATATATATATTTTTTATATTTCTCGAAGTGATATCATGCACCCTATAGCAATGTTATTTGGTATAAAAGATTAAAATGTCTCCGTCAAATTTAGTGAAAATCGATTCAGAATTGGATATGCCTGGATTAGTTCCCTCTGAAAGCAAACTATAAGCACTCTAAAGCCTAATGTTGTTACGGGAGCTCTACTAAATATGCATAGTGGTTTTAGGGTATCATTTAGTCGACCCCGCCCGACTTTTACTGGTTCTGAATGCATTGGTAGCTTTTGTAGTGCTTCCAGCTGATCTTCGCCCCAATTCGACAATTCCGGTGAATAAGCAGATTTGAGCCAATTATGCTTTGTTGGTAAACACTTTTTATTGATAAAAAAAAAACTGGATTTTTGGCTAAATTTTCAAAAGCCCATTCTACGAAATTTCTGCGTGAAAACAGGTCACTTGGATTCAATTCTTCCAACTATCTGTATTTTGAAAAGCTTCACACGTAAATGCTTCGGCAAAATTTCCCTCGTTCTTGAGTAATGGGCCCAATTGTTGCCTCTGGCCGAGCGCGTGTCATGTTGGTAATTAAATATCCAACCTTATAAATATGGTGCGAAATTTAATCACAGTAGACCGAATAGTCACTTCAGTGGGCAGATTAAACTGAATATAAAATGGATAAAGAGCCCGATTAACAGAGCACGCATTTTCATAATACAATTCATAACGTAATTCGATTCATAGCAAAATTATAACTAAATTAAAAAAGTATGACAGTGAGACAAAACACGATACGTGCGTGGGCTGTTTATACGAGAGATGCCAGAAAGATAATAGCTAAAAATCTTACTTTATATGTTTTCGAAATAAATCTCAATTTGGTATGTCTTTTGTTATTTTTCCATTATTATATTCCATTTGGATATTTTTCCCAAACTTTTTGGCAAAAATTAAGTCATTCTGGAATGCCAGTACGTACGTACGTCATATAATAACACTTTCCAATTTTCCATATTTCCTATGTTTTGAGTTTGATTGTTCATCCCGGCAGCCAATATACTCAAAATTTATACTGGATACCCCCTAAATAATTTCCACATGGTACACGCCCACCTTATTTATTGTTTGCATAGCACAATTTTCTGCATCTTCTTTCATTTCATTCCATGTTGGGACTCATATGGTAAATAAACCGTCCTAAGTTCATAATTACAACACGCAACTTGCAACATTTGCTGGGTCACATGTAACCAATGTTGGAGTTAATAACTAAAACACACACACGCGCACTTTTTTCACACCGAAAGTTGCGTTGTGTTTTTTGTTTCTTATCTTGGACCTCATAAATAGAAAAACCCCGTTATTGCACCTGTAGGCCAAGTGCATAAACGGAAAAAAATCCTCTCTCTCCTCCCTCTAAACTGTCAGAATTTGCCATGTGCAACTTTTGCACTGGAAGCGTAATTCATGAAACTCATTTAGAAAATGTGTTGGCAAACTGTGGCCAAACATCAGCAATATTTTACTTCTAGTTGTTGCTCTTGTTGTTATTGTTGTTGTTAATTTCCACGAATTGCCATGACTTTTTAATGCAGATGAGTGTTCGGGCTATGGCTTGTGTAAAAACTTTGAAATGTAATAATTTGTTGTATTTGCCAAACAACTAATGATAAATTTTCCATATTGAAATCAAAATATTTTGCTTGCAATGAGTTTGAGCTGGAGGGGGTATGGAATTAATCATCATTTTGAAAATGATTTTCTCTTCTGTTTATTTAACTATAACTCATTGCAAAGTTTGTTTTACCCACCCCCACCTTAAATTACTATTTACAATTTACAGTTATCTGATTGCACTACTTACTTCCGGTTCCCGCCACCGTCGAATGACGATGCATCAACATAGCATTGCCGTGACGCATCATCATCTGTTTCTCCTGACGATTCGCCTCACGGAATATGGCCAGGTAGGTGAATATCATTATCGTACAGGGTATCCAAAACGATATCGAACTGGAGATGACACAGTAGGGTTTATTCACAATAAAGGAGCAGACATCGGGATGCATTTTCACGTAGTTCTTGTGATGATCGGTGGTATACCAGCCAATGAATATGGGCAGGAAGGAGAGCAGAGCTGGCGAAATCCATGTATTGAGTATCATAATGCCAACGACACGTTTTGTCATGCTGATGGGATATTTTAAAGGCTTTACAATGGCATAATATCTGAAATGGAAAAATAGTCAAAGAAATGGGAGGATTACAAAAATGAGAACAGGAAGAAATATGGATAAATATGAATAATAAAAACCAAGTAAGGTAAGGTCAAAAGTCGGGCGGCCGACTATATGATACCCTACACCACTATGCGTATTTAGCTGAGCTCCTGCAAACAATGATAATGATATGACTTCGTTAAGGATTATATTAAAAAAATATTTATTGGTACAACAAATATACCGCTGAGCAATAATCGTAAAATCGGATGAGGATAAATATCGAAGTTAAAAAAAAAAATCTGAAATGCTCTCGACAAAACTTGGAAGAGGTGTTTTCGAACAATATATGATGCCCGGTATTAAATTTCATTGTTGTGGAGTCCATGTGAGGGACTTAAAAACCAAATCGGATGCAACATATATAAGTTGAGACAAAAAAACTGCAACAAAGTCAAACACTTTTTACTTTTTCATTTTTTTTAAATTTAATTGAACGAAAGCCAACAATGTCGGAAAAAGCATCAAATTTTAGAATAAGTTTAGATTTGTTCGAAATGGTCACCTTTGACACGAATTATTGCCTTCAAACGGCCAATGAAACCGTCACACGCTACCCGAATGTTGCTCTGCGGTATTTTAGCCCATTCCCGGCGAAGGGCTTGCCTGAGGTGATCGACACTGTTGTGTATTTTTTAGTGCCAACCTTGCTTTCCAAAATATTCCGGACACAATAGTCTAACGTATTGGTATCCGGAGATTTTGGTGACCATTGTGCGCTGGAAATGAAGCGAGGAACCTCATTTTGTAACTATTCTTGGGTGGCGCGATCTGAGTGCGATGGTGCTGAAAATGTCCAATTATTACACCCTTCAGAATATTTTCGCGATAATATTTGGTATTTATTCTGATGCCACGGTCGATTAATACGAGCGGAGAGCGACTATCGGCTGTTACGGCGGCCCACACCATCACCATGGCCGCTTGAGTTCTGGTGGCCAACCGAAGTTGCACATTTTCAGCTGACCTCTTCGGCAAGTAAACACCATCATTTGGACAACGAATTTTCTTCTCATCGGAGAAAGCAAAATTCGGCAGTTTACCACTTTCGGCCAAGCGAAGTAACTCTTTAGCTCTTTTGAGTCTATTTTTCCCTTCACCATTCTATGGAGGGTATATTAACTTTGTAATTCCGTTTGTAACTCCTCGAAATATTCCTAAAAGACCCTACAAAGTATATATTCCGAATCAGCTTAAAGTTCTAAGACGATCTAGCGATGTCCGTCTGTCTGTTGTAATCACGCTATCTTTCGAATGAGTTGAGATAAAAGGCTAAAATTTAGCATACGTGCATAGTTTACCAGTAGGCAGATTTAGTTTGTAAACGGGCCATGTCGGTCTACGTTTTCGTATAGCCCTCATATAACGATACCTCCCGATATTCTGTATTTCCATGATTTTGGCGACATCATTTATCGGAATTATTTCGAATTTCGTGATTGAAGTTCGTAACGGGTACTACAGCCTATGACAACAATTTTTATATGCAGGTCCACGTCTTCGTAGAGCCTCCATATAACGCTACTTCCTGATATACGGTATTTTGATGATTTTAGCAACATTTTTTACCGGCATCGTTTCAAATTTCGTACTGGAAGATAGCAATGGGTACTACAGCCTGTGTGAAAAAATTGTGTATGCAGGTCTACGTTTTCGTATAGCCCCCCATATAACGGTACCTCCCGACATTCGATATTTTCATGATTTTAGCGACATTATTCACCGGAATTGTTTCAAATTTCGTATTGAAAGATTTTAATGGGTACTACAACTGATGGCAAAAAAATCGTATGCAAGTCTACATCTTCGTATAGCCTCCATATGAAGGTACCTCCAGATACTCCGTATTTTCATGATTTTTGTGACATTATTCACCGTAATTGTTACAAATTTCGTATTTGAAGTTCGTAATTGGGCACAGCCTATGACAAAAAATTCGCATGCAGATTCACGTCTTTGTATAGTCCCCATATAACGGTTTTCATTTAAGTGGTCGTTTTCGGAATTTTTTTGAAATTTGTCAATTTCCCTCGAAATAGTGGAGGGTATTAGAAGTTTGGCCCGGCCGAACTTAGCTGCTTTTTTACTTGTTTTGTATGAAATTTTTTCCCTTGAGAGTTTAGACCAACAATAGAGTTGGGAAGGATTTTTTGTTGGATTTTCTCAGGAAGTACTAAATTTATTATGTGCTCCATGTTCTGCTAAAGATTAGAGGATCTCGGAGGCATTTAAATGTCCGATTTCCACACTTTGGTTGAAGAAATTTCATTTACATTTTGAATTGCTTCTGGTCTGCTCCTATAAGACCTTTAAACTTGTTATTAATCATTCACTACAATATAAATACCCTCGCTGCAATACTCTCTCCATGTTGTGCCCTTCAATCGTAGTTCCCCCTTGCCGCTTTACAAAAGAAACACGTAATAATTCATCCATATCCTTGCACAAATATAAAACACCGAACAAATATTCTTTCATTCCCTGTGTAAATTCAGATTTTACCAAATATATGCCTTTCATTGTGGACTCAGAGTTTCTTTGATAGTGCAGAAATAAAATTCATTGGTCAGTGTCGAGAGCTTTTAATTGCAGAGGCATACCCCCACACAAGCATTCACCACAGAGAGTAATTCAGGCGGGTGGCTTTCTGAGGGCATCTTGTTGAAATACAGCTTTCATTTTGTTGGCTGCTGTGAATTATGTTGAGGGGGGGAATGCTTTTCTGACGCCCGCCCCCAAAAACGTTTACACTCAAACGGTTACATTTGATCCCTTCCCAGCCCATGGCTATTGGCATGACCAGTAGCAGACTGCTGGACTGATGTGTGGTTATTCCGTTTCCCAAATGGCCATGTAAAGAATCGAAAAATCATAGAGAATGGAAATTGCAACACTTAAAAGACGAAAGAAAGCAGACAGGCAACCAAACGAACGAGAGTGGCCGACACCCCATTTGGTTGGTTCATTCATTCAAAATGATTTCGTAGGCAATTGACTTTTGGCATGGAATGGAGGGGCATAATTTTTCATTGTTCCCTCGCATTCTGCATTCGTTCAAAAATTTGACCAATTCGATTTCGCATCTTTGTGCGGCTGATGGAGATAATGATTGGCACCAATGCAAATACACACATTTTGCCCCGAATGGATTTCCCAAATGTGTGTCTTTCATCAGAATTCATTCTCAGCCACTATTCATGCGAACTGGAGTAACGTAATGCCCTGACGCATTAGCATTCACTTGGCTCTGTTTGTTCGATCCTTCTTTTTTTCTATGGTTACTACGGAACTGTCGATGATAAATATTCAGATTTTCACTTTCATTGTGACCTTTTTAAAGGCTTAAATGCGAGCAGTTTTCGTTAGGCGGTGGACTTCAAGAAAAATAAAACATAAAATGAAAGGTGCCAAGAGCACCAAATTTCCTGTCGAAGAAATTTGAAGTGAGGGCAAACAACATAACGTTAATGGATTTTTCTCGGATTACCTACGAAACTGCATCATTGGCCAATGCTGGAACAGTTGGAGTTCAGGTTTTTTGTTTCTCTTTTGTTACGAATGTAAAGATGAAGATAATGGCAAAAGTGTTTTGCCATTAAGGTTAAGTGTTAACACTTCAAAGAAGACTTTTAGCCTGAATTTGCATTTTATTGCTTTAGTAGGAGTTTGAAGAATAAGAAAGAGAAGAAGAAGAAGCGAATTTTTTTTTGGATTATATTATTTTAAATGGATCTGTATTTCTTTTTTTTTTTTTTTTGTTGAGGAAATTGTTTTAATTAAGCAGAAAAATGAATTGCCATTCACCCTCGTGTCAAAGTAATTTGCATTCGTTTGTCATTTGATGATTGCTTTATTAGGTTAGACATATTTAAAGAAGAGTTTTTTTTTTAATAAAAATAAATAAGGAACGAGACGATTCTCTTCGAGAAGTGATAATAAATTCTAGGGCTCGAAATTTTTAATTAAAACTAAATCATAAGGAAATCGGAGTATCCGCCAATTTCTACGATTTTGGCAGTCTATTTAATTATAGAATGAATATACGACATTAATGAAGGCTTCCATCTACCTGAAATCTTAAATTCAAAACAATTGAAGTTTCAAAATTACAAATTATGAGAAGTAATTTTTCAAAAAATTTTTAGGTCATTATCGTACTGCACTTGACAACAAAATATGGTCAAAGTCTGGGTGGTGGAAATTCCTCTTTGGTGTGTATATGAAGAATATTTTTTTTCATTTTATGCCAAAATCTCTCAAGGCTACCAGAAATGTGTACAAACAAGTTGAAAGTGTCAGTAGGTTTTGCCAACAGATGTATAACCTCAATCTAGGTCCGTTAATGGGCCAATATTGTCCATTTTGCATCTGATCAGAATTGATATAAGTAATGCGGTGTAGCAGGTGTAAATTTTTCAAAATTTTTTCAAATTTACATCAGATCTCTGTTGGGAAAGTGTTGTGATAAACGAAGTTTTAAAAAAATTGACCTGTTTCGCATGTTTTCAAAGATTTAATTATTCAAATTTTGACTCTTTGTGGACAGTGTATTCCACATCACTGACGATCTTGTGTTAGAAGAAAGAAAGTGATCGGATGCTCATTTCGCGTTTAATGGGCTTCAGGTTGTTTAAAATGTTGACCCTTTGTGGGGTAGGTATCAGATGGATCTATTTAAAAAAAAAATAGGGATGTGTGAAATTTAAAAAAAAATAATCGGATATCTATTTCGCATTTAGATCTATAGTAATCGATTTTTTTTTTGGGGGAGGTACATGGATATTGTCCATTTCATCCATTTTCACACCTGGCACAGCACAGATACAAAAATTGTGATTAGTAAAGCCTACTTAAAAGTGGATGATACGGTAACCTATTTTCTATACAAATTCAGATCTTTAGTGGGGAACGTACCAGAGGGAGTGGGCCGATATTGCCCACATCTGAGTCGATTTATGCATATCCGCCCGTCTGAAATGAAATTGTCCACAAATTATAATTATATATAAATTATAATTATATAATTATATATAAATTGGTGAGAATCGATTAATATTCAGATACAGCTAATCTTATTGTGCGCTATATGTGTAATAGTCGTCTTAATGGGATGTACTTCGGCATATCCGACCGAATAAAGGCTAGAAGCAAGCACTTCAAATTTGGTGAAAATCAATTCAGCTATATCTACAGATATAATAGCTCATATATATGGTTTATCCCAAGTCCTTCACATTCATAATATGCTCTCCACAACAATGATATTTGGTACCAGATATCTCGTACAACTCAGAAATACCTCTCTCAAATTCTATTCATATATATATTTCATCCGATTTAGTGTATAAGTCTCTCACATTCGTAATATAGAGAAGGTCATCCCATAACAGCAGATGGTCACTCTCCGCTCGTATTAATCGACCGTAACATCAGAATAAATGCCGAATATTATCGCGAAAATATTTTGGAGGTTGTATTAAAGCCTTGGCCACACAAACATTTTGGCCGCAGACGTTGGACATTCCAACAGGACTCAGCACCATCGCACTCAACACCCGCCACCCAAAAATGGTTACAAAATGAGGTCTCTCGCTTTATTTCTAGCGCATAATGGCCACCAAAATTCCCGGATACCAATCCGTTGGACTATTGTGTCTGGAGTATTTTGGAAAGCAAGGTTGGCACTAAAAAATACTAAAAAATCGATCACCTCAAGCAAGCGCTTCGCCGGGAATGGGCCAAAATACCGCAGAGCAACATTGGGGCAGCGTGTGACGGTTTCATTGGCCGTTTGAAGGCGGCCATAATTCGTGTCAACGGTGACAAATTCGAACAAATCTAAAATTATTCTAAAAGTTTGTGCTATTTCCGACATTTTTTGCTTTCATTCAATATAATTTTAAAAATTTTAAAAATTATGGCGTTTGACTTTGTTGCAGTTTTTTTATCTCACCTATATACTCCACAACAATAATATTTGGTACCAGATATCAGATACAGCTTAAAAATAAATCTTCTAGATTTACTTCAGATTCAGGTATAGCTTCAATATATATTTTCATTCGATTTGATGGCACCGAATATGTAACATCAGCCCAAATTAGATGGATTTTTGCACATTCAACTGAATTTATCCTGGAAACAAATACGACATTTTTGAAGCCCGGTTCCCGTATCATCTAGTGCTTCGATACATATCCTCATCAATTCCATCTTTTGGGTCTTGAATCGATGCTGGATTTTTGGTGTAGTCCTTATTTAACACGTAGTTCCAAAAGAAAGAAGTCGCACGATGTTAAATCACAAGATCTCGGTGGCCAATTGTGATCACCTCTTCTAAAGATACCACCTAATTTTCGAAAAGGATGATTCAATGACCACAAAAGATTCATATATTCAGGATGGAGAAGCTTCTCATCATCAGCGCTTAGGTTTTCCGAAACCCAGGTAATATTTTATCCACATTTTATCTAAGAGCGTCAAATCTTCAATTCAGTTTAATAACTCAAAACACAGGCTCTTCATAATCAATCAATGCTAATGGTAATGAAGCTTTTAGTACTTTTTGTACCATTTTTGTATGAATTAATTTTTCTCTGACCGTACACTTTTAAAAAAACTTTATAGTTGTTATTGTACATATAAAAATTAAGAAATTCTGAGCTCTAGCTCCCCCTAAAGTTTGATACTTGTGGTTCAATATTGCTCATCCTTTAATTACTTTCGCATACTTGCTGCACGGAGTTCCAAAAACCCAAACAACAATGATATCTCTCCCTCATAACAAAATTCAGAATTTTTCTCACTTTTAACGGTATCAACAATAATATGTTCAGTACATATTGTACTCTTGAGTACGAACTTCCAACAATCTCCCTTCGTACCTTTTTGAACTTTTTTGGATATTTTATTTTTTTAAGGCGAAGATACAAAATTAAGAGTTTATGCTCCAATCACCTATTGATACAATATTTCGTACCTTTGAGACAAAAGTGAAACTAACACAAAAATTTGCCATCGCAACTTTAGCCTATTTTCAGTGTTTCTTCAAATAAAAATTTGTATACGAATCCATATGTTCGATGGGGCTTGCAGGACAGTTTCTTATTGTATAAAACTACTTAATACGAAGCTTTCTTTAAACATTTTTGTCGTTCAGCGAATACAAATATTAAATGGATTTATCCAAAAAAAGGTAAACAATTTCCAATAATTACCTATCGACTGAAATACAGCATAAATGCAATATGCTTGCTGTTGAAAAATAGACATCCAAACTATTCCACAAATCGCATAGGAATGGACTGAAAAGCCAGCTGTAAGTAAATAGAGGAAAATATATTTAATTTAATGTATAAATAAAAACATATTACAAATGAATTTTTTTAATGCATAGAAAATGGTGTATATAAAGATGTGTTTAAAATTGCCATGTATGAGTATGAAAAGCATGCATGTGTGTGTGTTTAAAATTTGATCATAAAAATTCATTGAAGACTTTAATCTTGTGACTTCTAAATATGTATATGAGTATGTATTTATGTATGTGTGCGTTTACCGTTAAACGTTACCCACATTATTGGCCATTAGAGAAATCATTGAAAATTGGCCGGATCAAAACATTTCCCAGTTGGCATATGAAAACGTTATCCTCTTTATGTCCTTAACGAATTCGAATGGCTTTGGCATTCCACATGTTGCATATTCATATGTGTTTTGAATATTTTATTTTATTTATGAAATAAAGTGTGCTACCAAGCAACCAAAACATACAACACTAACTACTACTACGAGAATGACTATATTTGTTTATTTCGGATGGTATATGAAAAAAAAAAAAATATTTTAAATTGAATTAAAGATGCATGCAAATGTCTTCAATATTCATAGATTGGTTTAATTAAATTATGACATTTGGATGAAAATTGAAATTTCAAATACCACATTTGCATGTTTATACATACAAGAGGATTTTTAAAGAATATTATGAAACGACACATAGCTTAAACCCTGGATCTTTAACAGCATTTATAAGAGTTGCTGTGTTGTATTTTTAAAACTATTAATTTGTCAATACTTGTAGATTTTTAAAATATTTATCATCTACTATTTTTAGCGGTATATCGTCGATTTAATGGATATTTATTTTTTTATTTTTTTTTAGGATATATAGTCATTTTAATTACGTATTTTTGGAAGTATTTTAAAGAACCCTTGGAATATTTTAAATAACTTTTACCGCTGAAATCGTGGTTTATTTTTAAAACTATTTTAAAGGACCCTCAGTGCTACAATCTTGTTTTTTTAATAATATTAATTTTACTTATAATTCCTTATGTCTATTTTTTAAAGACATTTAAAGCCCTAATTTATTAAGCAATATTTGTGGATTTTTAAAACACTTTTTTATGGAGGGTTTTTTAAATCAAAAAAAAAAAATGTTTTTATTTTTTAAATATTTTCACAAACTATATTTATTGAGGACAATCAGATTTTAAATTAGAACAATCAATACAATATCTGTTGTGCAGATGATTTTTATCTGTGAACCCCTTCAGGTACCTCATTCACAAAGGGTCACAATTTTCAATACTTTTATCTGTCATTCTTCGACTATAGAATTCTTCGACTATAGCTGGTAGCACGCGCACGTTACCATTGAAAGAACAGTGAACAAAGTTACTAATATAGTCCAAACTTGGTATGTCGCAATATTTATATTATATTTATTCAGGTCCGGTACGAAATGCACAATAGTGGCCCATTCATTCGGAACCTACTCCATAAGAGGTGAAACATTTGAATAATCATAACAGAAGTCAAAATATTTTTAAGTAATCGTATATTGGCTGAGGGTATACATCTGTCGGCAAAACCGACAGATACTCTTTAACTTGTTTTTTTTTTTTGAAAATTGCCAAATTCGTTCCAAATGGTGGAAGGTATTCAATTTTAATTTTAGCCTTTTTAATTGTTTTTATACCCTCCACCATACATAGAATGAAGGGTATATTAAGTTCGTCATTCCGTTTGTAACTCATCGAAATAATCATTTTACGGCCAACAAAGTATATATATTCTTGTTCAGCGTAAAATTCTAAGACGATTTAGCTAAGTCCGTCCGTCTGTTGTAATCACGCTACAGTCTAAAAGAATTAAGATATTCGGTATTTTGATGATTTTACCCCATTTTTTTAACACAAGGAGTTCCTTGTAGGTAATTTATCCCTTGACAGAGAATTTTCTATATAGGCCCACGATATCGTATAGCTCCCATATATCGGTACCCCCCGATATTCGGTATTTTGATGATTTTATCCACACTTTTCAACGGAATTGCTGAAAATCCACACAAGGAGTACCTTGTGGGTACTTTATATCTCGGAAGAGAATTATGTATATAGGTCCACGATATCGTATAGTCCAAATGGTGGAGGGTATTCAAAGTTCAGCCCGGCCGAACTTACTGCTTTTTTACTTGTTTTAATTTTCATAGATCGTGGACCTAGACGAATTGTATATTAAGACCTTGATCGTATATTTCCAAGTTTTTTTGTAAGGATTATAATGGTGCATTTAAAGATTTTTTTTTTTTTTTAAATAACAATCTTATTTTTTTATTTGCGATTTTAATTTTAGTTGTGAGTTTTCAAAGTGTTTGCACAAACTCTTACTTGAAAGATTATTGTAAGGACTTTAATTCTTTATCGCAGTTGTTTAATGCATATTTTTATAAGGATTTAAATAAACCATTTTTTTTTAATTTATGTTCTTTTGTCTTTTTATAGATTTTTGAGCCGATTTTTAGCATTTTTTTAAGAATTTTAATTTTAAGAATTTTTATCAGTGATATTCTTTACTCTTTTCGTAATTTAATTTAAAAATGTGCAATTCTAAGGTTATCTCTAAAGACTTCATTTGTGGATTTTAACCAATTTTTATACGGAGTAATCAGGGAATTTTACAGATTTTTGTAAGGACATTAATTGAAGAATTCACCCATGGATTTATAAGATTTTGGTAATTAATTAACAGTCGATTTTTAATAATTGTTGCAAGAAATTTTAAACTACGCCTTTTATTATTATAGTATGGATTTTTATATTGGGTTTTTTAAGACTTTTGCTACTTAATCAAAGATTTTGAAGTCTGTTTTTGAAGGATGTCTATAAAAAATATTATTTTTTAAATGGGTCCCAGTTTGCATAGTTGAACGAAAACCCTCCAAAGGCCTTTGCCGTCAAACCACAGATATTCTCCCTACATTCGTTACACACTCCTATAGTCATTTATACAAAACTCAAATTTAAGTACATTTAATTACCATGAAAGTTTTTCGAACTTTATTGCATAGTTGCAGTTGTATTTGTTACTCCTGCCATTCTCTTTGAAACTATTACCATTTGCAAAATGTCTACTCAGTCAAGTTGTTAGGCTCATTGGAGTATTCAAATCAATGCACAGCAACAAAATGTGACCCAATTAAATTTAATTTAAATCATGTCTCTTCAGTGATATGCCACGACGTCGGCGGTGGCATTTGTTTGTCAGACTTTTGCCTAGAAAGCCACAAAACTAGGTTGGCATTTGTGAATCACAGTTTTTGCAATGCGGTAAAATTAAATTGTGTTTAAAGTTTGAAATGCAAAAGAAAAAAAACTAAAATGAAGTAGTTCAGCAAATAGAAAAAATAAAATAAGTTGCACATTGAGGCCAATGAAAGTTTTGGGGCAGACATTTTAATTGTGGAAATAAAATTATTTGTAAAAGAGGGGTGTTTTGTTGTTTGCTTTTGGAATGCAGTGATAAGGAGTTAATAGAGAGAGAGAGAGAGTTGTTTTAATATTGAGGTATTTTTAATCCCAGATGAAGCTTTAAAATGTTGTAGAGTATTTGAGAGGTATTCCTGGTAGAAAAGATCTTCTGACTAGGGAAAACTAGAAAAAGGATCTCTTGAAAGTCTCTTTTTAGAAAATATTTTCTTAGGTAGAACATTATATTGATTTCTATATTAACTGACAGACTGACTTAATGATTCCTCAACGACCAGACGAAATGGCTGAAGCTAAAATCTTGAAATTTTGGGAGAGGATCACTCTTAGTTTGAAGGTGTCAGATAATACTGGGTTTTTGGAATTCATACTAGAACGGTACAAAAAGTACTAGCACGGTAGCAAATGGTATCATACCATTTGTATTTGACGAACTCTTTACTTTCGGATGAGTGTTACTGATGGAGTATATTATAGATACATAGAGCTAAAAAGGTTTAATTCGGAATTAAAATCAAGGTTGAGAAGTAGAGTCGAAGTCAGGAGGTTGTTTTGGATGTGTGTTCTCATGTATACGCAAAGTACTAAACGGTACTAAATTTGGCACAATTCGAATTTGGAGAAACGGATGGAGCTGGAAGCCTGTAATTAACATTATTGGTGGAGAGTAGGATTGGGATATGGAGGTAATTTTCGAAATTTGTGCTTATGTGCACAAAAGGTAGTAAATTGTACTAATCCGATTTGGGTGAACCGATAGAGCTGGGATACTGAAATTTGAAAGTAAGATTGCTATTGCATTGTAAGACTGAGGTACATAGGCAGTACTAAATGATTCTAAATTTTGTGCAATTTAAGTTTTGGAAAGAAATTTAGAAATAAGGCTTCTCTTGGATTGCATGATGGAGATTTTGTATTTTTGTGACTAAATGGTACTAAATTTGGAACAGTTTGGTTTATGGTTAACGAATGAAATAGAAATTTTGAAATTTTGTATTGGGGTCCCTGTTGCTGGTGGGTTTGTGATAAAGACGTGGTTTTGGAAATCTGTACTACAAGTGCACGAAAAGTACTAAACAGTACAATATTTGGTACATTTCGTTTTTGGGTGAACAGTCGCTATTTATGTGTATCCTGGACATATGGATGTGCTTTCGAAATGTGTACTACAATTGTACGCAAAGTACTAAATGGTACAAAATTTGATATTGGATGAAGGGATGGAGAAAAAATTCAGATATTTGATGTTTATATTACTGATGGTATCTGATATTTGGCGTTGGTTTGGAAAGTAAAGAAAGTTAGTATCGGATGAAGGTATAGGGCCAGTATTCTCAAATTTGATGTTAAGGCCTCCGTTAGTATCTGAAATTGAGATATGGAGGTGGCTTTGAAAATTTGTTATATAATTGTACGAAAAGTACTAAATAGTACTAAATCTGGCATCGGGTGAATCTCAAAATTTGATATTGTGGTCTCTGTTTGTAATTGAAATTGAGACATAGAGGTGGTCTTGGAAAAGTGTGCTATAATTGTACGAAAAG